TTTCCAAAAAAATATGTTTTCAAGTCTCAGCATCACCACCATGTTATTCCTGATAAACCATTAACTTTTTTTTCTTTCAGAACACCATACAGTAAAGGCTGTTAAATCTGTTTTCAGGTATAAAGTGAAATATTATTATGATTTTATTAAAAGTGACTCACAAGGACTTAATATTCCTACAAACAAAAATCACTTAAATCACAATAGTTTCAACCGGAAGAAAAAGTCTCATATTGTGTGGAAACATTTCTTCTTCGCATCCTTCCTTAACTCTCTGAAAGCAGATGTTTGTTGCTGTGTTTTCCTGGAATCAACTTTTATTGGAAACCCTGTTGCGCGGGATGCAGCGTTAACAGCGAGGACAGAGATGCAGCGTCCTCCTTCAGTTCATGGAGATGAAAGCTGGTGCCAGGGGCCGGGCACAGCAGGGCTGTGATCTGAGCAGCCAAGTGATGGAGCTAACAGGGGGGCATTATTCTCATAAACTGCAGAATCTGAGCTCTGCACAGGAAAACAAAATCCAAGCGACAGCCGGTTCTTCCTCTTATCGTCCCTCAAATTGAGATGTTGCTGGCCATCATGACCAGGCCTCCCTCCATTTTTTTCTTAGAAGTTTTAGCTTAAAAACTTCTGTTCATAATTTAGAACCAAACTCTTACAATAATGTTGAAAAAGTAGTTGGAACAACTTCATTTTAAGCAGTAATCAACTTAAAAACATTTCATTGCAGAGGAAAAGCTAATTGAGCTAACTCAATGCTGTTTGTAGTTTGAAGGTAATCTCTTAATAAGTTGCCATAACTCAAAAAAGATAGATGCAAAATGTTGGGTGCAATTTTTTGGTGAGCCTAGACATTAGCTTTTAGAGTGTAGACCTTTTGAGATTTTTTTATTAGAAAATATAGGAAAACACCTGGAGAAAACCTAGTGACAGATTTTCTGTGAAAGTACAGGTTATCAAAAAGAATACAAACATCTCAGGATGAAAAAGCATTGCCATACATGTTGAAGACACAAATAAAGCTGTTGAGAGAGCTTTTCATCATCAGGGCCAACGCTGGTGTCGATGTGCTGAAAACAAAAACACTTGATCACTGCAGCAGAATTAAAGTAATATTTTGTCGACAGCTAGCAATCAGTATATAGCTGCTACTATTACCTTCGTGTTTCACACTTTCTTAAGACATCCACGAACACCGAGTCGACATATGTCCCGATTTTCTTCTCTGTCTCTGTCATCTCACAGTCAGACTGTGTATTTGTACTGTCTGACATGATCTGACTATCTGTTGGACTCTCAGGTAAGACGACCATTTCATCTGGTGTGTTGGATATTAGTGTCTCCACTGTGTTCTTCTGTCCTTTCAGCTGGTATCTCTAATTCCTGGTATCTGATTAACAGATTATACAACAAGCTACGTTCACATCTTTAGAGATATCTTTTGTGACATTTTCTTTCTTTCTCATGAAATGTTTAATAAACAATCTTAGTTCAAGAACAATGGCGAACTGAAAAATAATAATGCAAAATTAAGCTTATTTCAGACATTTTACTACGTATTTCACATTTGTAAGACTAAAGCTGATAAACCTGCTAAAATGTGTAAAAAAATTAAACATCACATGAAAAACCTACAGCAAAAGCCCATGACATGTTGTAGTTCCATCAATTGATTGACTCCATCTGTGTGCTGTAGTTCAAATTTGAATTTTTTTATTTTCTAATACTGGACACACGTCTTTTCCTGGATAGTTTGAAATGGCAAAATAAACAATATATTGCACAGACCCTGCGTTATAATGCTAGTTTGGGCTGGAATAACAAAACAGCATCAGGACAATAGAGAGTGAATATGGTGGAGAGGATGTTTGTAATCTGTTCGTTACAGAAACAGGGTTATTCCCTGGTGCGGGGCAGTAGCACAGTTTAAAACTGTCAGTTTAGCACAACCGAAGAGGTGAAGAGCACGGCGATCACGTCTCCAGACTTGAGAGAGGCTGAAATCTATCTGGATTCTTACAAGAAGTGAATATTACAAAGAGCAAATCTGTGCAAATTTTCATTCATATTCAGTCAAAGGCTAATAAAACCACAGACACTCAACAGACGACTCTCTCCGAGCACTTACAAGCTGCAATGTCAAAAACAATTGTATTAATACAAACATAAAAAAGTCACTAGTCAGAAAGTGCTATGAGTGTTAAAGTCCAAGCTATTCAGGTAACACAATCTCCACCCAATACAAAATCTCCTCTGTGGTCTGCGGAGGTGGAGAGTGGAGCACAGATAAATGGTTACTGATGAGTTTCTAGTCATCGCAGCCCAGCAGCTCCATGCGAAGAGCGATGCGCTCGTGCCACTCCCAGGGGACGACTCGAACATATCGGGCGTAGAACGGAGGCTCAAATAGATTCTTCTTGTGGGTGTTGTTGTCGATGTTGCCTTGGAAAAGCTGCAAATAAATGTTAAAGGTATAGTTAAAGCAAAAATGTTACTTATTGAGCAACGGTTATTCTGTATGTTCAATTCAGCTTTGTACAATTTTCCAATGAAAAACAATTCTGATGACTCACTAATATAAGTCTAAATTGCATTGGACACAACCATGATGATGGACAACCTTGACAACCTTCTACAATCCAGTCTGTGCTGTAGCCACCGTTTGTTTGGTCCATGTCTCATTTACCAACATGGAGGAGGTGCATTTTTGACCAATACTGCAGCCAGCCACCGGGGTGTGATTGAGACACTGGCTTCACCTTTGGGGAGTCGTCATGTCCTCCATGTTTATATAGCCAAACCAATAACGTACTTCAGGTGAAGGCGTCCACCAAGCATCTAGCTGACTAACTGTCCTCAGAGGTTGTTGATCAAACTGAGTTGAGCTGCTTTTCAAATTGACAAACTAGATTCTACTCCCCCCATCCAGACGTTCAGAGCATTCAGAGCCCCGGGCAGCGTCGTTATGTCATGAGCCTACAAGCTCTGTGCTCTGTAGAAACATCAAAGCTTGTTTCACAGTACTTTATAGGATCATATGGGTCCAACACACTGTAATTAAAATATCCTAATGAAGGAAAGACGAAACTATTTACTCATGAAGATGGGGCCTTTCACCAGCAAGAGACAGAACTAGATGTCATTGTGAAGGTAAAGATGGAAACAGAGAGGGAAGCTGGCGGACTGATAATTGTTTATGACTGTTTGGACCTTTTTTATGGTTATGGTTTTATGGTTAATGCAAAATCACCTCAGAAAAACAAGATTTACATAGACACACAGGACATGAACAGTCTGCTGTATTAGAAAAAGACATTTCAGGGATTTATACACGTCTGACCTTATCATTGCCGGTGATCTCGTCCTTCACCGTATTCCACGACTCTCCATCGTTACTGTAAGCAATTTGAAACACCGACACAAACTGCACCACCCCAAAGTCCTTCGCCCCCTGAGTGATGATGCCTGTGAGACGCGTCGTCTTCTCCAGATCAACCTGAGTGAAGGAACAAACAAAACAGTGACTCTCTGCAACACCTGCTGGAGTCAAAAGACATTTTCACCAATGATGACAATTAACTAACTAAGGTTTTCCTCACCTGGATCCACTCTGAGCGATTGTTGTGTGCAGGGGACCAGGCGTTGGTCTTTCCCTGCTTGTCCAGTCGGGCAAACTGAGGGTGCCACGTGAAGGTGTCGATGCCCCACGTGCGGTACGAGCTGGTGGCCGAAAGCTGCCCGTCTGAGATGAGGCGAGACTTCATCCCCAGAGGCTCTGAACAACCTGCCGTGTTTGAATAGACTGTGAATCCGAAGCAGGTGGAGAGACGGAGGGAGGGCAAGCAGCAGAAGAATGAGAAAGAGTGGAGAAGAGGAGGGAACGACAAATGAATACACCCGAAGAAAAGACAAAACAGCTTCCACCAGCATTTAAAGAAGAGTTAAAGAAGACTGATCAAGAGGATTTTTACACCCACCAATAAGAAAAACAAAGAAATAGAAGAAAAATGAATAATGAGACGTGCACAGAGTAGAAACACATGCAATAAAGTGTGTACACATTTAACATGTTTCTCTGAATGGTGTAATTGTCCGAGACAAAGGACTGAGGTGTACAAAACTCCATATATATGTTTCTGTCTGTGAGTGGCAGTTTTCTGTGGCTTCCCACATAGGTTTGTTTATACTTTACATTTTCTATGTGGTCAAACCCCGGGGACATGTTACGCAGTTTAAATAAACTGACTGTCATTTTGCTTGGAGGGAGACAGTAAGAATAATCCAACACAGTGAAACAAGAAACAGAGGGGGAGGTTTTCCTCACTTCTCCTGACTGCAGGAATTAAAAAATAATATTTGTTATCTTTGCTCAGAATGGAAACTTCACATCCGTCCCATTTGTGTTTAAGCTGCTTTTATGATCTGCAAAGTTCCTTAACTCTCTATGTGCGTCACAGTTGTTTTCAGCCGGATTTTTTCAATGTGTTTACCATTGAGTTCACAGCCGACCAGCTCCATGCGCAGCGTGCACGCCCTGCGGCACACCACAGGGATGATGCGAATGTACTGGGCCACGATTGGAGGGTCGAAAAGGTTTGTTTTCGTGCCATCGTTGTCTATGTTGCCCACAAAAACCTGCAGGACACAGACACAGGAAATGAGGTTAGTAAGCTGAAAACACATAAATGCTCTGCTGGTACAGTGAGCGTTTAACACATCCTCAGTAACTTCTGATTATTGCAAAGTAAAGTCGAACCTTGTCTCTCCGTTGGCCGTCTACTCTGTGTGTGGTGAAACTATTCCCATCAAAGCTGCTCGCCACCTTGAAGGCCTTGATGTACTCCGCAGTGCCAATGCGACTGGCGCCCTGAGTGATGATGCCCGTCAGACGCATCTTCTTCTGCATATTAATCTGAGGTCAACAGCAAAAGTGTTTGTGAACCAAAAAAATATGGGAAAATAACTCGAACATCCATGAAAAAAGGTTTCGCATTAATACTACGGATAAGAGCGGCACTGCAGCAGAACCTCCCAGCTTCTCTCTGCCACAAAGTTTCAGGTAATGTTTTCAGTCTGGCGTCTCTCACCTCGATCCAGGGATTCCTGTCATGGGTGGCTGACGTCCAGGCGTTGACGAGGCCATGGTTGTTTAGACGCGCCAGCTCCGGGCCCCAGCGCTGAAGTCCCAGAATGCCGTAGTGCACAGAGGAGGCAGAAATCTGGGACTCCACGATTGTACCTCCCTCCATCCCCAGCAGAGAAATGCAACCTGGGACATAACAACAAAGGAGCGTAACCAACTACATCTAATTGTTCTTCCACCTCTCCACTTGAAACCAAAGCTATCATTGATTATTAATCAATCATTATCCAAAGATAATCATTTGAGTGATGGGGATTTATTGCAAATTATTCCAGTTTTTCCAATAAAAAGAAAATAATATTTCTTGTTTCTTCAAATATAGTAATGTTATCATTATTCAAGATTATCTCATGAACATTTAATTTGAATATGTATTAAATGAGCTAATAGATCATGATTTGGACATTCAATTCAAAAGTGAAGATTGTATTAAAATGTTGAATTGGCCTTGCAGCACAATTTATTGACTTTTTAAGTAGGTTTTAAGGAAATGGAGCTGACGAACATATTTAAGGAAGTATGTCTGAAGAAATAGTACAATGAATACAGAACTGAACATATATATCAGAGCAGGTGAACATACGTTGCTGGCACTGCTTTCCGACGTACGGTGAGGGGCACTGGCAGGTGTAGTCTCCATCCAGATCTCTGCACACACCTCCATTCTTACAAGGCTGCTTGGCACAGTCATTCACATCTGGAAGAAAAATAAAGACTTTTTTATTTTTAAGAACTTTGACGTTTATGGGATCTGGATGATGATAATAATAATGAACTGAGTGAGCTCTGTGGTTCATATTCACACCAGTGGGTGGTGCTAAAAGTTTGACTGAGAGTTTCCTCTCGAGACGTAATAAGAAGCTGCTGTTTTGTGAACTCATTAAGTCTACAGAGAAGGATTAACAGATGTCTGTGTCAGAGAAGAACAAGACTGCATTATATACAATATGCCAACTCACATTCTCTACCATTACTGACAATAACTCCTCAATTCATTTACTTTCCATTATGTTACAAACTGTTTATTCTAATCAATGTTGTAAATACTCTTTGGGGCATGGCAGTGGCTCAGAGAGCACCCCCCACCTGGACCAGAGGACTAATCAGTGCAACTGAGGGCTGTGAGCTGACTGATCCTCTCAAAAGGCATCAGCCGATTTGAGGGTTAAGGATGTCACCCCTTGTTAAGCCCTAGGAGACAAATTGTGATTTGTGAATATGTGCTATAAAATTTGATTGATTGAAATTCTATATATCCTCTATATTTTATATCTATATCTTAGCCGCACAGGGACAAGGGACAAGATGAGAAACAGGATTCACTGGGCCGACGTTGGGCAGGTGTTGTATTCAAAGGTCCCTTTATCTGTTGAGATATAAACCACATCATGGATGTATCATAAGATAACGAGTAGAGAGGGAACCGTAACTTTTCAGGGTTTCATTTAGGTATTAAAACAAAATTGGCTTCACCTCATTGCTGCATTTTAAAGATTTGTGTTCAACCCACTGGGCTCTTCAGGAAACATCTTTTATTCCAGCTGAGAGTGAAAGTAGTCAGTAAATGTTGGATCGAAAGTTTTCCAGTATTTTCCTGTTTTCCTCCACAGTAGCCATAGCAACAAAAGTCTCATCACTTCCTGTTTCCCACCCTGAACGAGGGAACTATGAAACACTCCCCAAGCTGGTGTACTTTCACAACATGTTTATCTAAACTTTCCAATACAAAGCAACACTCACTCTTTTTTTACTTCAAACAGAACCAGAGAGAAGAGTCAAACCAACAGCTGATAATTCAAACAATAAATTAATCAATTTGACTGACTCTGTGCAGATGAGTTTTTGAGAGACACAAGGTGGCAGTGTAGAACCTGTAGATAATTTGATAATGATACATTTAGAGTCATATGATTTGGTCAATAACAATACAAGAGCACAAGCGACCGAGTCTATTAATGCATGTATGTTTGAATACAGGGTTTATTACAGAGCTGCTGTTTGTGTCTGATTGTCACCCATAGATATATTATGACAATATCTGGATAATATATGTACAGTATATATATCCATCTGTATATATTTATCATTTAGCTTCTGTATGCAAAGTTATGACATAGTTAAAAAATATAAGCATTCCAATGACGTGCTTGTCAGTGTTAATGTCAGTAGTTGTCGTGCTTCATTTTACCTGTTGTACTGACTGAAGAAACCAGACTAAAGCAGATGTCAGATTGACGTAACGCCACATGGGTCTGTTTAATTCTTGTTCCCACTAACACTAAGAGGATTGCTCAAACTTAGACACAAATGCCTGTATGGCAGTGACAACACTGGCACAGCACTGCTAATAACACTAACAAACAAATGATCCGACCGTGAAATGGCCTTCGTTCTTTAAACCCCAGCTCGCACCGGCATCATGCAGGCTTGACTGAACATATCTTTTTGCTCACTGGGACCACTTTCCACGTGTTTTGGCAGAAAACCTGACATGAAATTCAAGCCAAGAAAGCGTGAATTAATGAAATATGTATCCAGAACTTGATGATTTGCAAATGAAATGCAACGGTTGCTGTTTTATCCTTTGAGACTCCATACATTCGTCTATACCGCTTATTCTATGGTTGCAGCAGGAGCAGGTTGAGTAGAACCTGGACAGATAGTTAGCGTATCACTGGGCCGACACAAACACACACATTCACAACTTCAGTCAATTTAGAGTTTCCAGTCACCCAAACTGCATGTTTTTGTACTGTGGAACGAAGCCGGGGTAAAAGAAAACCCATAGAGACACTGGAGAGATCATGCAACTCCACACAGAAGTACCCCGTCCAAAATGTGAACCCTCTTGCTGAGAGGCGACACTGCTGAGCATCACATTTAACTTAAATATAAGGGACAGATTCTACCCCATTCCAGCACCTCCACACCAGTCCAGCCTATGACGTCTGAGTCAAAATTAGAAAATGACTGGGAGTGAATGACCGGGCTGCAAAAACACTGCAATTGGTGGTCAGACCGTGGGCTTTGGGAGGGTGAGCTCATGTTCACAAGCATGAAGTTATATTTTCAAACTATAATTCTCTCCTTTCAGCCAGAAGGAGTTTTGCCCTCAGCCGTCATGCACACGAAGCTGAGAGTAAACACTTTTCTTACTCCAGAGGATTTTGATAATGACATTCACACTTGTTGAACATAATCCACTATTTCCTCCCTTCTCTCAATCTTTTAAGTCACTAATAAACCAAAAACCCCAAAAGCCAATTCAGTCATTATTATAAGAGGATTTTTTATTATCAAATTCTTCATCTGATTTGGTGGAACTAAAGCACAAACAGGTTCAGTGTTGAAGGTTTGTGGGAGGCATTTGCATGCTAAGAGACTCAAAGTGCTCCAACTTACTAATTAGCCAAACAGAGTGAGCGCAGAGGCCACTGAATGAGACCCATTCATGAAACTGCTGAGCTGACAGCTCTTCTCTTCCCCTGCTGATGCTGTGACAGTATGGAACAACCTCACGTGTTCACACGGACAAATACTGACTTCATTTTATCACTTTTTGTAGAATCCATCAATATTGAGAATTGCCAAAGTAAAATTTATGACAAAGGGGAAAAAGGGACAGCTCAAGGTAATGAATGACAACCACAACAAACTTACTGATCTGGCAGTGCGCTCCCTCAAAGCTTGGCTGGCACTTGCAGACGTACTCATTGAAAACATCTCCTCGTCTGGTCGGAGCAATGACCTCGCACAGCCCATCGTTTTTACAGGGATTCGGGCTGCAGGGTCCTGACAGGAGGTGGGAGGAAGCAGATTTGTTTCAGTGCATAATGAATTATTAATTATTAGTTAAGTTTCACTTCTTCTTCTTCTCCCCACCTGTCTCTGTAAGGTTACAGGTGTCTCCGCCAAATCCATCCGCACAGATGCAGATGAAGGGATCCTCTCCGACATCTGTCACACATGTTCCTCCATTGTGGCAATGGTTCACCTCACAGTAGTTGCCTGCGTAAAAAAGGTATGATATGAAATTAGCTCAACAAACTGTGCAGCTTCAAATACACATGTAGTAAATTTGCATGTAGTACAGTACATGTTCATGTGTATTTAACAATGCAATTTAATATTACAGACACAAGTTTCTCAAAGTCTTGGGGAAACTCGGGGGGGGGGGAGAGATGGATCTACTTCTTCTTGTTGCTACAGTATCAGACTGTTGGTAACAACTGTGGCTGCAGAGCTGAGTCACGGATCCTGCTCCAGATCAGAAAGAATAAGGCAGGAACATCCAGAGGGAGCGGCAGGACACAGATTCATGAGTCACACTACAACTGCCACAATGAATAATCTTTGTATTTTTTATATTACTTTGTTCCTTAACCAGTGTGTTGACTCATCAGGTGCCACGTCAGCCATCATTCAACCTCCTACTTGACTTAGCTGATCTTTCTCTGGTGTCAAGTACAAACCTGGAGGAAATCAGTGAAAGCTGAAGAGCTTCACCTTCAGTAGAATGTTGCCCCACAACTTTAATTTTGTTGCTGTAACTGTTTTCATACCAGAACACATTGAACTGCTGTCAAACCATTTGGAACGAGGCAAACAGGTTGTGCTAGTAAAGCTTATTATGTGGTTTGAGAAAAAATGGTAACAGTGCAGTTTAATGTGGAAGAATCCATTGTGAATAAATGTTAAAATGGAATAGTAGAAATGTAAAGTTGTGTTTCTGTTTAAAGTTATTTAAATCTAAGTTTGTTTTCTCCAACTTTCTATTTCTGAGAGCAAGGTGACAATCATGTCTTGTTTTGACCAACAGCTCAAAGCTCCAAGATAATCTATGTGTTTTCACATGAGTCAGAGAAGAGCAGCACATTCTCAGAATGAAGAGGAGCTCAGGAAGGTTTCCATAGTTTGAAAAACTAATCCGTCATCTCATCTATTATCAAAGAGTTGCTGATCACTAGAGATATTGTCCAACTTCGTCCTGTGTTCTAAAATGTGGATATGAATTATCTTTTTGAAAACACTAAACATGTTGACAAATCTAAACAACAGATTTTTATGCAACCACCACTGACAGCAGAACGTGTCTGCGTGCAGGATTAAGAGCTTGCAGGATTATCCAGGTTGCACAGAAGCATGCAGCTCTTTTGGGAATGAGCAGTTACACAACATGACAGCAGCAAACCTGACTGACAGGTGAGTAGTAAACAAAACAACAGAACGTGTGTAAACAACATGGCAGCAGGAAAACAGAACCCTCCTTCTGTAAAAACACTTCAAACAGTTCAAACTGATTTTTCTGGGTTATTTTAAGTGCGTCTGGTGAGCTGCATATTTCTTTCTTGAACTATAAAGTTTGCTGAGCGGACAGGTGGTTCATGTTGGCTCCAACAAGACCACATATGGTGTTAGTCTCCTCACCATTTGCACCACCTCTTCAAGTATAACAACACGTAACAATATCACCTGGAAATACAACTTCAACTGATCTATCATTAACAGAACAAATGTCCAGAAATGTAAATATATTTCACAAACTGCTCTGTTCAGTGGGTGGTGCATAGAAGAAACTATAGGCTCTTGTTTACTACTGCAAGTAACCTGACACAACTCTGTAATGACAGAGTCTCACGTGTAATACCAGGCTAGCCTCACATTTAATCACCCGGTTTAACATAACAGTAATACACTGGCATCTTAGGATGTATGCTAGGTTGTACAAATGACATATTAACTGCATGGGCTCAGGAAAAACTGCACGTTAATGACTGAATCCTGCATGTTGAAAATATCAATTGGTGAGTGGAAAATGTTCAAATTCTTTATTATTATTATTAAGGATGGGCGGTACAACAACATCAGTAATTATTGCAATATAACTTCCATTACTCGTAATAAAACAAAGGTTCATTCCATATCACTGTAATGCTCATTCATTGTGCAGGAGCAGAGAGGAGGTACAACACATAATTCATCTACCTCAGATTTGTGTTTGTGTCTATCTGTCCATAGAGAAGTTTCAAACCACAGTTTCACTCAGAAGCTGATTCATTGTTTATTTGTGACATAGTTTTTGACCATTTAGCGCAAGTCAGTAGTTTGAATGAGCAACATGTTGAACTCAATCTTTCCTCCACA